TAACACGATAACACGCGCGAGAATGCAACAATTTGTCAGGTTAAATTACGTGATAAAACATAGAGATCAGTAATTGGTATAGTGAATTGATAGTAAAGACAATTTTCTACCACTTTTTCATAGAAATCGAAAAAGAAGTAACACGATAACACGCGCGAGAATGCAACAATTTGTCAGGTTATAACGTCAGGTTAAATAACGTGATAAAACATAGAGATCAGTAATTGGTACAGTGAATTGACAGTAAAGACAATTTTCTACCACTTTTCAATAGAAAGTTATTATGTAGAATGTGTAGAATAAGGGTGCGTGGTATGTTTAAATGAAATGTAAGATAAGATATGTAAAAAGAAAAGGGGAAAAAAGAATAGAATTATATGTGCGTATACAGGTACTAATAGAATGATAATGGCGATATGCAGTGAAATCTCATTACTTGTGGTAATGTGATATTATGCGCAGGAAAGATGACTCCAATGTGGGGCTGTTGCGTAAGCGCAATATCGGAGGATATAATGAAATACCTAAATAATTTACGGCTATATAATTTTCGTGTTATTATTAGCGCTCGGCGTTATCGAACTGTGCGCGAATGTGTAAACGGTCATTACATAGTTCCGCAAAATTATCACCGGATCCTCTACGTGTGTTGCAACATCAAATAGAAGGAATTTCTCCTCACCACAATGAAATGGCGCATTGCAAATAAGTCATAAATGTCATAACTCATTGGTCAAAATTATGCGCGTGTGAAAACGCAAATTACGACAACCTGACGGAGCGTCGAGTGGTAGGAGTAAAAAATTCCTACGCCCTTTGTTCCATTTTCAATGACGCTACTCTCTTGTTAGAAATGCCATGGTTCATCGGATGTTTTCTACGAGTGACGTACATTTTTGTGAAGCACAAAAATATGACAGTCCTTCGTTCGTACGTGAGATTTTGCAGAGAGTGATGTGATATTTTAAAACAATTTCCCATATTTTGCAATACTACTTCTATAACCTACCGCAAGGTAGGGAAGGAACGTATGTTGGTCGTAATATTTGCTCTAACTACGTTTACTCCAAACGTATATTTGATAAATTAGATAAATTTAACGAGCTAAGTACGAAGAGTCGATCCAGATTTGTTAGCGTGTACACATTAAAACGTTTGCACGTACGTGGACGTCCAATATAAAATTTGTGGGCACATCCAATATAAAATGAAGTGAATAATGAAATAGGTGCAACAAGAAACGGAAGAGAGATTGC